TGTGGAGCAACACACTAGGACTCTCAACTGAAATTAAAAATTGAGCAGGTTTGTGAGAAATCTATAAAATTATCAGTAAGAGAGAAGTTTTCCCATGATCCCTACTTCTAGTATTATGAGAGAAACAAGTGAAACAAGTAGGTGGCAAACAAAAGCAAAAAGAGCTGCTGTATTGCTCTATTACCTACTATCACAGACGCAGAAAGTTCACACTAGCTCAGAAAGAAACTGAGGTCGTCTTCCGTGAATTTAGCCATCTACAGCTGTTAAATACAAAGTCACTAGCTCTAGAAACCTCTGAGTCATAAACTGGTGGAGGCTGAATGTACTCAAAGACATCATCACTCCATGATATCCTATGTCTATACTCTCCATTATGCAACCTCAGTCCCGAGGTGAGGTGCTGAATTAAATGGCTCCTTGATCCAACTTGGTAGCGCTATTCTTATATTGCATGTTTGTCATCACTTTGAGATATTATTTCATATTTGATTTGGATTTTTCCACTAACGTGTTTATGAAAAGAGAGAAAAAAAAATTGGTTTATATACTACATATTGAGATGACAGGTTTACGCACAAAGTGTACTTAATTCAGCCACTTTTACATACAAGAACAGCAAGTCTGGTATGGAGAGACTTGAACAAATACTTAAGCTTTCTGTAATTAATTTTGTAGCCACTCCGAGAATACTCGTAGCTTCTAAGTCACCCCCAAACCAATATACTCTTGATGCTGTATGCTTTTTGTGGCTTCTTAACTGCAAGCAGTTCTTTAAGATACTTTTCCAATGAGGTGTTAAGAACAATTTAAAGTTCCAAAGTAGCAACTACTGCTGCACATTGTGAGCTGCTCAGCACAAACAAGTTTTCAGGGCGTAGCTAAACATAATCCTTTACTAACGGCTAATGCAAAACAGTAGCTCAGGAACCCTTCCAAAAAGGACAAGTTACTTCTCTTGCTCCCGAAGGGATCATCCAGAAGAACATTTTAGGATTACTCCTACTCCTTTGGGATTCTGATGACATCGTCCAGACAAGCCTGCATTATCGCATGACTGAAGACAGGATCCAATACCTCAAAAACAGCCTATTGAAAAAAGTAATTGAGTTCATTTTACCCTACAGCTATAGATCCTGACTCCTGTGGTAGTTTAGCTGCACATTTTATGACAAGTTCAGTAATTGTACTTGACCAGGAATTCCTAATAACTGATGATGAAAAATAATCAAGCAAGTCCTCCTTCTGAAAAAGACACGTTTACTTCACCTTTTTTTTTTTCTTTTTAATTTTTTTTTGAAATTAAAACTAGTGACCTCAGGATCTGGCTGTTAACAGCTATAACAGAAAAATCAAACATCGGATGAGCACAGCTCTCCAATCTTACTTGCAATTACCCCCCACATAGCTGCTGCAAACCCATTACAGCACCGAGCAGAAAGAGTAACTGACTGCCAAATTTCTAGTCTAATACTAGAAAAAGGCTACAAGAAAACCAGATAGGAAGCTATGTGGCAGGCACAGCTTTCAGATCATGTACATCTTACACAGTTGGAATCTCTAAACCAGCAAATATAGCAGTGTGTGGACAGGTTTGTTCTGGACACAGCGTTGCTGCTTTTCTGAGCTACTGCACCCGTGCTAGGAAGTCATGCCAGGAAGCCATGCCAAAAGGGCAAACTGCCACTTGTAGGTCCAAATCGGCTTATGTAGAACAAGCTCAAATGTGCCAGTATCACATACTGAGCTGTTCTTAGGGTTAGAGAGCAGAGACCTACTTTGGGACCACCAGCACGAGAGCTGCAGATATGTGTACCCTATTTCCCATACAGAAACTCTGGATTGCTCTAGGGATTGGACTTGGATTACTTCATTTTAGTATGTGGAGTAAACCTTTGCTGTTATCCTCCAAATAGGATTGTTTCACTTCTGACAAAAGCATTGAGAGAGAAAAATCTAGGAAAGTCCTCATTCCTAACTGGTAATGCTGCAAGAACTGACAAAAGCAACGACTCAAAAAGCAGCCACCACAAAATCTAGTACTAAAGCATCCTGCCACTCTCACGAGCAGCACTATCAAGGGGGCAACTATCGGACTCCATGGGCTTGGCGTCCATCCATCTAACATGTGATACCTACCACTAATAACACAGAACATTTGGAGGTGATGTCAGACCACTACCAGTGTAGTGCTTTGGCATAAAAGTGGCTAAACCAGTCCTTATCAGAAGAGGTCTGGATTTTAAAGTAAACTTCTCAGGTGGAGAGATATCGGCGGTGGGGTGAAAAAGGGTGAAAGGCAGGAGAGGAGGGAGGAAAGAGCCAGGGCTTGTCCCACTTCCTCTCCTTCACCTTGGGAAAGCGAAAGCAGTACAGCTGTTTCGCAGAGGCCTGGAAAGGGTGGCGATTGTCCACAGAAATCTAACTCACATCAGAGCTGGGCAGATCACGTTTATTCCCACCTGAAAACTGACTTGCAGATAAAGTTTTAAACAGCCTTCCTTTTTGTTAACATAAAATGCCCAAACAACAACAAAACCCAACAACAGAACACTGGAACATTTGTTAAATGATATGCCTCTCACCTCAGCAAGATAGGAATCTGCTATGTCCACCAAACAGAGATACAATGACCTTACACAAAAGGCAGTATTTGAACCATGGCGATTTTTGCTAAATCAAAAGAGCAAGAGCTTGGACAAGAAATTCAGATAGAAACCAGCCCAGAAATAAAACCAGACAAACAGGTTCTCCATTAACTTGTAACCTACAATAGACAGCTATTTAAGTGCAAAATTAATCAGCTTTTACTCCAAGGATATTTCTCTAATTTCCACTTTGCAGCCACAATCAGCTACATAAAACCATTAAGATGCATTAACATTAAGGCTTTGGATGTTGGCAACGAAATAACAGCTAGAGCAGGGGCCTGAAATCAAAGAACACTGGTATTAAGATATTACAGTTATGATCACATACATGTATCACTAGTCTACATGTGGACAAACATTTGAAAAGCCTCCTTCAGCATGTTGCCTAGTATTAAGTTCTTCTTCCCTTATTTTAAATCTGCACAGTTGCAAACCCTCTCTGTGAGAGAAAGAAAAGCCCCAGACTTTTTACAGTAAAATCAAGGAGCTGTATCATAAAACATCTTGTGACCTTCAAATCCATCTGTTTCAAGTGCTCTGAAAAGAATAGGATTATAATATTGCAAAGTCTGAGATCATGCAGGTGGTTGTCCTGATTTGGTAGTTCTTTAGGTCACCGGTTTGGCACAGGAGCAAATAATCCCATCCTTCTCTGCCATCAAGTCTCAAGCACTCTGGGAAACAGTGCTGACATGGTTTTCTCTTGACCATTTCTGGCCAAAAGACAATTCAGAGAAGTCAGACTAATGTTTCATTTAATGTTAAAAGAACTGCTCACCAGGAAAAATTAAAGGGCACACTCAATCAACAACCAACGTGAAAGGCCTCAGGATAAACTCTGTAGATGGCCATATTAAATATTGCTTCCTCTTTACAAAAAAAAAAAAAAAAAAAAAGCCAAGCAAATATGCTAGAGTTGTTGATGTTAATAAATATACCATCTTATAGTCCAATTTAGCCTTGTTAACAATGAACAACACAAAGACGTACTCCAATTATTGACTGCACCCATACTTCTTACCTCTGAGTCGTGATTTAGAAAAGTCTGAACCAATTACTGTTAACACATTCTCTTTAACAGAATTAAAAAAACCCAAACTCTTTACTAAAATTCCTGAAAACATCAGTATTGATCATTCTAGGATGAATAATATATTGAAATCATAAATAAATGGTAAATATTTCTGATACTTAGAAGAATGTTTACACATTTCTGTAAACTCATTCACTAAGTAGTATTAATGAAAATAAGGGTCAATAAAATCAGTAATACAGCAGCCATGTGTATATTTCTGCTCTGCACATGTGACCTTCAGAAGAAGTAAGAATCAACATTAACCAGTAAACCTGGAGCTGACAGAAAACTGTAACATACATTTTGCATTTAAGGTGTATAAAACCAGAATCCTTTCACTAGACAAAGCATTCATTAACATTTATCATTGCTATACAACACTACTGTGAATTAGTTATTGAGAAATGCACGTAGAAGTATCCCTGCTAAGAGGGTTTCTTCTTCCAAGATAAAACGATTGCAAATCAAATTCCATTAAACGGAGTCTAGCAACAAAAAAACAAATAAAGGGGGAAAAGGACTCCTAGCAGCATTCTTCTTTACAACTTGGTAAAGCAAATTAAAAAAGTGAAATTTCCACTTCTGCCCATGTTTAAAAGTAGCAAAAAACAGGTGAGAGGACCACAACAGTTAATGACATTTAATACAAGTATCTAGACCTTTTCAATTAATACAATTCACTAGGTTATTGCATCACAAGCAAACCCAGCTCTTTTCAGATGACAAATAAGGGTAGGAACTACACCGCAACTTCCAAAACCTGAAGGTAAAGAGTCTAACTTGTAAGCCAACCGACAGACGAGTATATTACTCTTTAATTCAGAACCAGGAACATACAAATAGTTGTTTTTTTCTGAAACATCTCATTATTAGTAAGCCAGAATACCTCATGCTCCAACAGTTAAAGGCCATCTCTAAATTTAGAGGCCTCCCCAGTTCCCTTGCCCCGGTGCACATCCTGGCTAGGTCTCGGCTGCATGTCTGGATGAAGCTTCTGTTTCATACATCCCATACTACCACATGCCCTGATTTGCTCTGGAGACTTACTTATATAGAAACAGAATTTATGGGGTACTCCGAGCCTAGTGAAGAAACATGGACAAGAACTAGAGTGCATCTGTCCTTTGTCGAGATAAAGTATAATAGAAAGTGACCTGTCTGTGGGAAGCAACTATTCAAATACCTGAAATGAAGGTTAGCATATGAACAAATGAAATCTCAGTATGATTAACAAACCTAAGAAAAGAATGTAAAAAAAAAAAAAAATTTACTACCTTCTTTTCAGTGGGGCTTGAAGTCTTTGATACTAATGCTGCTTCAACAAGACCCTGCTCAAGTAAGGAGTCATATTTTATGCTTCTTTTTCTGTTTCTCCTCTCCTTGTTTGCTGGCTTTTGTTCATTTTCCTCTGACTGAGACACATCTGCACCATTGTCTCCACAAATGGAAGATTCAAAAAGAGGCTTTCCATTCATGTAGGTTTTAGTGATTTTCAGCTTAATTTCCGGAGAGCCATTCTTGATAGGAGTAGTGTTGGGTGGTGTTCCAACTCCCTTTATTTCCTGGGGTTCAAAGCGTAGCTTGGCATCTTGGGCCCCAGACTCGCCATTAAACACACGAGAGGTTAGATCTTTCAATTTATCAGCTGGAATAAATGGAAGAGCCTCATGGCCATTGTATTTTTGCATGACACCTTCTTGTAGAGTGGCAGAAAGTTGTGCTTTGCCCAAGTAGACAGAACATTCACGATTAACTTCACAATTCTGAGTTTTCCCATTGGTATTTCCAAGGATCTCTGGTACCTGCTTCATTTTGATGTAGTTAATTTTTCGAGTTATCAGTTGAGAACTTCTTTTGATGCTAAAGTCCATTCAGCCCAGATGTTTCCAGTCTTACACTGCTATATTAAGACAAAAAGACAGAGAATATTTTTAGTAATACAGAAATGTTAAAAGCTACCAAGTATTCACATAGATACGTCCCGATCAATATAACACTCAATGTACTTCATTCAAGTTTTACTAAAAAAAAAAAGTGTTGCTTACAATCTTCATAACCAAAATACTTCAGTATCTGTTAATATGCATCATGAAAAAGTCCAAGTAAAACAGATCGATGAATCGTCAACTTTATTACAAACAAAAGCAGAGAGCAAAATGACACCTTTCATTTAAACAACGTGTTAACAATCTACAGCATGAGTCTTACCCACACTAATTACTCAAAGATATTGCACTGTTTAAAACAAGTAAGAGTTAGACCTAAGATAGTATCATTAATAACAATGTAAAACAAATGAGTTTATTTCTAAGAGGCTGTGCCAGCGTAAAAACCCCACAGGCTGTTACTGTAGCACCTACACCATGGACAGCAGCACTGCAAGCTGCTCTTCCTCACTCTACAGGCAGGCCCTCAAGCTTCCACCAAAGCACTCCTCCTGAGGAAACAACACAGCTCAGCCTTCAGACGAATCCCAAAGCATTTTGGCTATGAGAACAAATAAAAGGAGAGCATTTTGTATGATGAACATTAGCCCGCTGGGAAACAGCTGATCCTTCAGGCCATTGGCCACACTGCAAAATTTAAGTAGTTGTAGCAACTGCTGGAGTTTCAGCTTTTTAATAACAACAGTAACATCATCTAACACATGCATTTCATACATAAATTTGAAAACATCCACCAAGCTAAAACTGCATTATCACCTGCCCTAGACAGGTTTTCTGAGGAATCTAGAAGCTAACTCTGCCCATTTCAACATTATACATTAAATCTAGCAAACAAATGAATCTGGCAGAATGACTCCTTTGTGCTCCTAGACCAGGCAAGATGATAATTTTCATTTTTAAAATTCATATGCATAGACATCATATCACCAGGTCCAGTCTGTACATGATAGAGAAATACACCATCATAAATACTATGAAAGCTTAGCACAATAATCATCATATCCATGCTCAAGGTAACCAATTTCATATATGATTAAGTCCAAGAACTGTCACATCAAATCAAAAATTCATCAAATCTAGTCTCACATGCTTCCAAAAAAGTGCAGTAAACCCCATGATGAATAACTATTGAATTGTCAGTTGCTATGGAAGAAATCTCTTCTGACTCTCACCACCTTGTTTATTAAGGTACACAGACATAATGCTTACAGCTGGCATATTCCTGAAACTTGCATATTTCCTACCTCTACATCAGGAGCAGCAATGTACAAATGCTTGTAACTGAGCATTACCCTAGCCTGGCAAAGCTTTTTAGGGGTGTCAAGCCTGAACTCAAAGCAACTGGTCAACATAAAACCTTTTCATGCACAAAGATGCAGGAAAACAAAACAAAACAATCTAAAAATTGTAACTCCATCACTCCTTAGCAAATGCAGCCATGTCCCTAACAGGCTGCTACAAGATAAAAAGGCACCTCTCCATACAAGCTATATAGATTCATTTGAGAGATGAAAAACCATTCCCAGGGACAAACAGCAGCCTGAAAAGCTGGCACTGAAAAGCTGGCATTAAACAAGGTAAGAATAGCAAGTATACCTGAACTCCCAAGTGAATCTGCAACAGGAAAGGTTCTAATCTTTCTTTAGCCAGATGAAGTCTAAATTACCAATAAAATCTCTGATAAAATGAGTGGAAACCAGCCAACTGTATTAACCCTTCTGAAGAGGAGCCAGAGGCAGAAGAAAACCCAAAACTCTACCAGAAGAGAACAAAGAACTCACTAAACCAAAAGAGAACTCATGTACTTTCACAAGATCTTCTCTGAAAACATGGACATGAGACAGACTCTCAGCCCAATTAGTAATATGACAATGTTTCAAGCTGTGATTCAGCAGATTTAACTGAAATCATATTTATTTCAAGAAACAACCGATGACAAATTCTAGAAATCTCTAGGCAAAAGGCAAACCCGTTACGGAACATGTGATGTTTATGGTTACGGAGATGACAGCAAAATTCCTTAAAAAAAACCCCAAAACACCGAATTGTTGCAAAATTTGTAATTCCTTCACACAGATTCTTAACAGAATAAACCAGAATGTAAATCAGAGAGTTGATCTGGACATCTCAACTCCCTCTATCTAAAAAATAAGCCTATAAGCAAGCAGCTTTTCTGTGGCTACAGACGCCCTCCAGTGGTTGCCTGAACAAGCCAGAGCAGCGAACACCGCAGCTCCCCACTTGCCTGCACTGACGGACTTGCTCATCACAGCTTCTCACAAGAGGACCAGCACCAAAAATGCCTTGTGTGACCTCCTCCTGTCCATCAACTACGCACTTAAGTTGAAAAACATTTTTTAATATGGGTCCATTAGCTGCTTATCAGGGTCTGGATTTCTGGATCAAGACATCTGCATTTTGTAACTGTTTAAATCCATAATTCTACTAGTATTTTTTTGTCCTGCTTAATAATAACTCTTACTCTTATCACTTCTTTAAGTTAGAAAGCCACCAAGCTTGAGGCAGACCAGGACAATTCAAAAAAAGCAATGAATAATCAAATCAGACTACAGTGTCGGTGTACTCAATCTTGATGCATTAAAAAACCAATACTGTAAGAGATTCAAAACATTAAAATCATCATAGAGTCACAGAATAACAGACTGGAAGGGACTTCCTCAGATCACCTATTCCAAACCGCTGCTTAAATCGAGGGCAACGCAGATCAAGTTGCTCAGGGACTTGTCTGGACAACGACCAGTAAATAACTAAGTAAAAAGACACAGCTTAAAGAAATTGAGTTACTCTCTAGCTAATAAACCTAAGGGTAATAATTCCATATCACAAAAATATGAAGACCAGTAACACCATGCAGCAAAAGACCTTGAACTTTCAGGAGTTACCTTGATTTGCCCAATATGTCTGAAGATATACAGCACACAGATTTTAGAACTTCAGTGAGTGAAGGTTCAGTTAATGTTTCTCACTAATACAGGTCACTAAAAACAGCTGAAAGCACTGAAAAAGGCCCCTCAAATTGCTGGAGCCTAGAGAGATAACAAATCCATAAGTATAACTGGTAAAAGGAAGTCAATGTACCCAGGCCAATAGTAAACGGGAAGATAAAGACAAAGGCAGTAATTTGAGACAGTAAAGAGTAATAGAAGCAGTAGATATAGATTATAGACTATGGAAAATAGACCATGCTTGTACAAAGATTTAATGGACCCAAATAAGAAGAGGCTCAAAGTAAGAGGCAGAATAATGGGCAAAGATAATAGATGTGAGTACCTATAAGCAAACATAGTCCCACTGGGGAGATGAGACTTGCAGAGAGCAACCTGCAGGTTAGTCACCATCTCTAGGACAAACAATGGAGGGAAATTGTCGATACGTATCTCAGTCCTTGTAAAAAATATGCTATCTTGTGGGGTCTGGTTAAAAGGAAGAAGCTAGCACATCTACACACGGCAATAACAACGGGTTTCAAGAAAGAAGGGCAAAACTGAAGCTAGTTGAATTTTGCACCACCTTTTCTATCTAAAACTCATGGCAGCACAATGCCATATGCAAGAAAAGGACTGGGCTCTTTGTGAGAAGGGGTCAACAGAGCAGAAAAGAAGAAAAGGGGCAAGGAAAGAAAATGATCAGCAACAGATAACCAAGCAGTACTGTGAGCTTAGCATTAACCCAAGAAGACCTAGAAGACAGGACATGAAAGAATGAAGTGAGATAGATCACAGACAAGATCTGGTTGATCAGAGTTGTAAGAGTAAGGTCCTGAAGCAGCTGAGCATATGATTAGATTTGGTAGTTAAATTAAGTGCGCTCATGCTGGACCACTACATCACACAGAAGCAAAAGCAATCCCTTATCTTCTTCTAGATGACTGTAGCTATAGAAAAGGAAACTGAGGGGATAAAGGGGACAAAAGCACCACACATTAGGAGCAGCTAATGAGCTTAAGCTAGTATCATCCCATATTGACTGTCTGGTGACCCAACAAGTACCATTTTCACTAATAAAGAGGAAAAATCATGATAGCCAAGGAGTCTGCTGAATGAACATCGTATTTTTGGCTTATGAACAAATAGCTTTCAGTAAGCAAAAGATCTGACTTATCAGAGAAAGGTCTCTAGAAGTTTTAATCAGACAACGATAATCGAACAATCCTTGCAATGGCTTTGTACACATTTTCACACTAAAAAAAAAATTATGTTGCAGACATTTTAAATAATGTCATTAACTACTTGAAGGTCCATCATCTGACAGGAGTCACAAGCCAAATACAGTTAGTCTGCACGTCAGATTCCTCCTTCACTGTCCAGGACACTATCATTTATGTGATATTTATTATTCATTTCTTCCACATCTGCTGCAATTTCAGAGATGCTTTTCTTGTGTGTCAGAAATAATGGAGTAGTCCATTCCTTCCAACTCTGCCAAAGGGTGTGAACAGAGTAAGTAATCAACAACAAGTGCCACTATTAAATACCACTTTTGTTTTGTCTAAGGGTTTTCTTAAAGCCATTTCTCAGGTGAATTACTTGGGGGGGGGGAAGGGAAGAGGATGAAGATGACACACCTAAATACAAACTCACAGTAAGAGTGAACCCACAAAAGCTATTTTTATTACCTACAAATCAGGCTTTCAGCTGGCACTGAAAAAGCTAATAGATAGCTGCTGCTTTTTTTTCTGTAAAGATAGTGTTCTGATAAGTCTTCTCCATTCTCTCATCAATTTTAAGACCAAAGGTCATTCCTATTTTCAGATCAGAATGAGACAAAATACTTAAAGAGATCAGTGAAGTTACAACACATTCTTGCTGATACATTTTAAAACTTGAGTATGCTTATTCACATTACCTTGTATAAAAACCCTAAAATATCAAATAGGAGTAGAGACATATTTACTATTATGCAGTACATTGTGACTGTTCTTCACTATACGAAAATAA